TCAAACGCTGTTTCCAAGTGGGCTGAGAGTAAATTAATCAACTACAATCATAAACCAAAGCAAATTCGAGTAAATCAATAAGCTATCAATTGCCAAATAAGAACAAACTGGGGAGAGGGGGCAGTTTTAAACTGGATCACAGGAATTGCTGTCACAGAAGCCAGTCCCCATGGCACATGTCCTTCAAGCCTGGTCTGCATCACCTGGAGGGCTGGCTTTTAAAGGAAGAGCCTCAGAGCTTCATTGTAGAAAACAAAACCAAAAGCTCTGGGGGCTCAGCGTGGAGCTCCACACCTTTTCACAAGAACCCCAGGTGGTCCCTAGAAGGGTGGAGGATAGAACTAAAATGCACAAGAAAACAACTTAAGCTCCTACAGGAAAAACCAAAACCAAAACCAAACCCACTGCCATCAAGTCAATTCGGACTCCTGGACTCCTGGCGACCCTTTAAGGCAGAGTGGGACTGCCCCATAGGGTTTCCAAAGCCGTCAGTCTTTACAGAAGCAGACTGCCTCATCTTTCTCCCATGGAGCAGCTGGTGGGTTCGAACTGCTGACCTTCTGGTTAGCAACCAAATGCTTTGACCACTGTACCACCTAAGCTCCTCAGAAAGAACCAGGTACATTCAAACCACCAGGTGCCTCACCAGCCCTCTAAGAATCCTGTGAGCACCAGGCAGATGATCACTCCTCCTTCTGGGAGGCTGGATGGCACAGCAGAAAGCAAACAGGTGTGAGGCAAAGCCTGAGACCAAATCCTGACCCACAGCTACCAGCTGTGCAACCCTGCAGACACCTAATTTCTGAGCCAATTTCTTCTCTTCTTTATAAAATAGGGTGATAGTGTACACGTCACAGGACTTAATTCAATGAAGATTTCACATAATCCCAGACTGAAGACAAATGCCCAGCAGCAGTCTGCCCCCTTCCCTCCGGCCAGGATGCACTGACAAGGGCACGGCGTCACTGCTGGGACCTGCAAAAACGCACAGCCCGAAAAGGGTCAGACAGAAGCGCCAGGCACACTCCAGTGGGGCCAGGCTACAAAGCCACCGGCATCTCCAGAAGTGCCAGGGCCAAGGAAGACAAAGAAAGCCAAGCAGCTCCTCCAGATTAAAGGGCCCGGAAGAGACAGCACGAAAGGCAACAGGTGACTCTGGACTGAAGCCCGCAGTCGGGGAAACACAGCTGCAGAGGACACACCTGTACATTTAGTGTCACTTGACTCTAGAGGATGGATTAGAATACAAACTGCATCAATGCTACATTCCTGTATTTTGATAACTGGAGTGTGGCTACAAAAGCTCCTTGCTTTAAATAAAATGTGTATGGACTACTGTATGGAAAATGAATTTGCTCTGTAAACTTTCACCCAAATCACACTGAAAAATAAAACAAAATAAAAAGGTCCTTGCTTTTAGGAAATACACATGGAAGGATTTTGTGGTAATGGGGTACGATGTCTCCAACTTGCTCTTATCTGGGTCTACAAAATATGCATATAAATAAGTGAATAAATGAGTAACGTGCATGCGTGTCAGAAGAGAACGATACAGCAAACGAGGCCGATGCCAAGCACTGTGAAGGCACACGGCGTGCACAGAAGTTCCTTGTTCTATGTCTACAGCTTTCCTGTAAGTCTGAAATTCTATCAAAATGGAGTCGCCACAAGTTAGCCTGCTGCCTTTCATGTGACAAATCCAGCAGCCGGGTATTTCGCCAGAGGCTCTTCTACATAAGCCCACTGCCTGCGAGCTGATTCCAAGTCAGAGCGACCTGCACTGGGTTTCCAAGGCTGCAAATCTTTACAGAAGCAGACTGCCGTGTCGTTCTGCTGCAGAGCAGCTAGTGGGTTCGAACCACTGACCTTCTGTTTAGCAGCCAAATGCCCTACTCACTGGCCCACAGAGCTCCTTCTTCCATATAATACTTGTTCCAAAAGAAGCTCCACGTGAAAAGCAGATTTCAGAGCCAAATGAAATTGGGACCAGCTGCCTGTGTGTGATGCTCCCCTTCGAAACAAAGCCTTGGAGATGCGCTGAAAGAAGGAAACCTGTTCAACCAGCACTTGCCCAGCTCTGACTACTGAGTCTGCTTCACCTTGTGCTACTAACCTCCAGCAAAACGAGAACGCCAGAGAACGGCAGAGCTGGCCAGCCTGAGGCAGAAGCAGCAGAGCAGTGAAGCCCAACCTTCCGAGCCTAGGCCTCCAACCCAGGACCTGCGGCCTCAGAGAGGGGGCGAGGGCAAAGGACGAGTCTCTGTGAGCTCACTGACGTGTCAGAGCCCTGAGCCTGCAACCCCAGCCTCGTGCTCTACCCACTAGACTCACCAGTCCAAACTGTTTTCTAACACAAAAGCAAGGACACCAGAAACATCCTGCTTCACACGTGTACTATGAGTTCTGTAAGCATATGTGTTGCAAGTCACTCATTCCAGTTGCTAGTTTAGTTCACTCGTCTCACTCCCGGAACAGACTCAGCTCTTTGACTGACAGGACTAGTTCTTATTTCAGTTATGTGCCCACTGCCTGTCTGAGTACAGGTCACCCAAAAATGTACGTTCAATATACACTGAATCAGTCAGTGAATGATTACCTCTGACCCAAGATACGATGTGCCCTGTAGTAACTCGGGCGCTGCATAAGCGAGGCTCCCACAGCATGTCTGTAGGTGGTAACCCTTGTCACCCTGCAAAGAAGGGACAATGAACAGCACTTATTAGTGATGGTCCCCAAGAGAAGGAAACCTTAACAAACATTCTTGGAGCACAAGCAGAGAAGCTAAATGAAGGCCCACCTCTAGTAACAAGGGACTTCTGCAGCCCCTACTCTGTGCATCCAAGCACGTCTACCGGGTGGGCTCCTCTCCTGAGTTGCCAGTACACTACAGCCTGGCACCGAAAAAATCCTTTCCCCTTAGTTCAGTCCAGTCAGGTTCATGTTTCCCTAGAAATCCATTTGCTTACTAATCAGCATAGCATATACCCAAACACTCACGATACACAAAGAAAAGGAGTTATTTCTTTAAGGACCCTGTCTCCAATATCTAAGGAGGCCTGGCTGCTAACCTAAAGGTCAGTGGTTCAAACCCACCAAGCACTTGGCAGGATAAAAGACCTGGCGGTCTGCCCGTGTCAAAATGTCAGCCCATGAAGACCTGGGGGCAGTTCTGCCCTGTCCTGTAGGCTCACTGAGTCAGAGCTGACACGACAAAGCAAAAAAAAACACAGAAGAGAAGAAAGAGTTCTCCGAAGAGGAAAAACGGCAACTATGGCACACAGGGCAGTGCCCTGGGACTCTGTTCTCTAGACTCGGTTTGAAGACAAATCACCACCTTAATTTCCAGCTCTGTTAAAACAAGGAATCTGTTCACCCTGCCCCGCCTGCCCCCAGAAGGTTAACGGAAACGAGACCAGTGCCCGACACCTGTGCAGGTGGCATCACTCGCAAAGGACTCGCGAAACAGGCACTGTTCACCCACACCTGAAACAGCACACCCACAGGTGAGCCCCTTGGACGCTGTCGTGATCCTCCCCCCGCCAGTGCCCCTTTTCCAGACGGGGTCCATGCAGTTGAATCCGTGGCAGCCGTCTTAATGCTGACGGAGTCTGTCACAAACACCCCTCCACGGCCTCCCGTGGAGAACAGGCCTTAAAGCAGTTTATCTGTGCCAAGTGTGTTTTATCTTCACACGTCTGCCGATCAAAAACACTGCCTTTTAGCATCTGATTCCCAGACAGAAGGCTCCAGAGATAATCCCTAAAGAGCCAAGGGAGGGAAGGAGAGTCAGAAAGCATCAGACACGCAGCCGCAGCCACAGCCGAGGGAGGGAAGCCGGCTTGCCTCTGCACCCAGCTAATTCTGACGGGGGCAGGAACCAACCGCGGAACTATGAAGGGCTGAGACGAGTCTGCAGTTTCCGCATTGTTAATGAGTGTGGACAGCTCATTTTAGAGACTGTGAGTACCATCATTAGAGAACTCGGGAGGAGGCCTCCAACAGGCAGCCACACAGGAGCTCTGACACAGCAGAGCTGGGAAGTTCAAAGTCACCTCGGAAAGAAGTTATCGGAAGAAGCAGTACTTCACTATGGACTGCAGATTAAGGGAACACGTAACATACATTCAAAAGGGCACATGGACTTTTTCCTTCAATTCCTTCATATGGAAAGGGAATCATTTCTTAAAATGGTTAGTCATGTAACCATTTGCATAACAAAGAATACATTAGCACTAAACCCTCGTATTTAAGTGAACAAAAGCATCCTCTAGTGGCAACACACTCAAACTGCAAGGACATGGCTAAACCCTCGTATTTAAGTGAACAAAAGCATCCTCTAGTGGCAACACACCCAAACTGCAAGGACATGGCGACTCAGTGCTCCTGCTGCGGTGGCCTCCTGTCACCTGGCACTGCACATGCTCTCAGTGTACCACACGGGGTGGCCGTCAGCCTCGCAGCTAGAGCAGTGCTTCTCAATCTTGGCTGCATACTACAATCATCTAGTTGTTGTTGTTGTTATGTGCCGTTGAGTCGGACCCGACTCATAGCGACCCCTCCTTGGATTTTGAGGCAGTATCACTACAGAAGTATAGACTGTCCAACCTTCCTTCTGAGGAGTGGCTGGTAGGGGTCTGAACCGCCAGCCTTCTGGTTAGCAGTCAAGTGCCTTAGGTACTATGTTAATCACCTAGAGAACTTGTAAAAAAAAAAAAAATTACTGACTCCAGAGATGAAACGGGACACTCATCTCAATGAAGACCAAACCAAAAACCATACCCACTGCCCTGGAGTCCATTCTGGCTCACAGTGCCCCCATGGACAGAGTGGACCTGCCCCACACAGTCTCTAAGGCTGTCAATCTTTACGGAAATAAAGACCAGACCAAACCCACTACTGTGGGGTCTGTTCCAACTTACTGTGCCCTGAAGGAGAGAGTAGAACTGGCCTGCAAGGTCTCCAAGGCTGTAATCTTTATGGAAGCAGACTGCCTCATCTTCCTCCCACAGAGCTGCTGATGGTTTTGAACCACTGACTTTTCAGTTAGCAGCCTAGCGCTTAACCACTGTGCCACCAAGGCTCCTCTCCTCGCAATGGAGGCAAGCAGGCTCAGTAAGGATTAAGTAGAAGTCATTGCAAGATGGCACATTCACTGTGTTTAGAAAGGAAATAAATCCACTTCTGTGTCTGCACTCACCTTGGGTTTTGCACAGAGACCAAAGTCAATCAGCTTTAAGTTATGGTGTTCATCAAACAACAAATTTTCCTGAGAAAACAAAGATATTTTGATAACTGTATGCTGACTTCCTTACATCACGTCCTCACCTCTAGCATTTCTAGAGATCATTTAAGATAAGGTACTAAAATGTCTGAACAACAGAGTAAAAACCATGACACAGGAATGAATGCTAAGAAGCATGCAAGGGAGGAGGGCTGGGACAATCACCCAGCCCCTCCTCACTGCACATCAGCCTGAGCCACGTCCTCCCAGTGCTCTGAGGCTCAGCCACAGAAAAGGCAAACAAAGTCTATGCCAAAGGTACGTTAGACCGAAAGACCCAGCTCCAAAGGCAAGAGGCGTGCACATAGAGGAGAAGAACAGGAACACTGCCAGATCCCGTCAGACCAACCCCAGCTTCCCGGCCTCAGCCCCAGTCGCACGAAAACCCCAGTCGCCACTCTCCGCGTTAATCAGAACCTGCAGGCGTAAGAGCGTGTGCATCTGCACGCCGCCCTTAAGAGCAGAGTCTGTCCATACCATTGATCTGGTCCCTCCTGGGGAATAGTGGAGTTAACATTAAAAGAAGATAGGGTTAGGACCAGAGTACCAAACGGAAAGTCCTCAATGACTCAGTCCTCTTAAAGAAATCAATACTCTTCTTTCCTGCAAGCACAATCCCGAGGTTCCTATTTCACAGCTGGTCATGGAGACATTTACAGTGTCGCACACAACTGACAGACACACTCAGTGCTAAGAACAAGTCCATCCCGAAAGGCTACCAAGAGCCGAAAGGAAAGGAAGAGAAAGGGAACGCCACCTCCTCAGAGCGGAACAAAGCAAAGGAGAAAGACTAAGATGAGGCCCTGAACAGAAGAAGCAATGGAAACTGAAACACACCAGGTCAAGGCTGCTGGAGTGGCCAGGGAGTGTCTAAGTGTGGCGCACTCACTTACCGGCTTGAGGTCCCTGTGGGCGTAGCCTTGGCTGTGCACGTAGGCCACCGCAGATACTATCTGACGGAAGACCACCCGGGTCTCTGCCTCTGACAGGCGGTCCTGGGAGATGATGTAATCAAACAACTCTCCCCCGGGGCAGTACTGCAACACAAGAAGGCCATGGGGAGGTTACCTTAATTACAAAAACCACTTCAGAGGAACTTAAAATTTAAAAGGATGCTTAACCCGGAGATATTACTAGTCAAGTTTACAGGCAAGAGGCCAGAGTGAGGCTGACTCAGAGGTGCTCTCTGCCCTACCTGTCACGTGCCAGCTGCCAGCCTGCACTCCCAGCAGCCCCACGTGTGTCAGACCAGAACTAACTGTGCTCCGCAAGCTTTCAGGGGCGGATTTGGGGAAAGCAACTTATCAGACTTTTCTTCTGAGGTACCTGGGGGGGCGTGCACCTCCAACCTCCCAGGGGGCAGCCGAGAGTCCCCCCAGGCCACCCTTGTTTACGACAGTGGCACTATTACACCAGTGTGAAATACTTCAGTCAGCCCAAATGCCCAAGTGAAGGCCTGGTGCATGTCAGGTTTCCACCAAATGTCTGAGATGAATGGACAGTAGGCGTTTGGCTGCATACTCCTGGCACATGACACACCATCTCAGGCTGGCATTAGAAGCACTGTTATACAGATATTTAAATGTGGCAAAATGTTTTCCACACATGAAAGTGCTTTTAAAATATCATGTGAAAAAAAGCATGTGAGAGATGTAGACTAAACAAGAGCACAAGATTGGTAACTGTTGAGTCGGGAAGTTGGGCACATGAATGCTCATTGTACTGGTCTCTATTTGGGGGTATGTTTGTTTCCATAATAAAATACACGCTCAGGATCAAACAAGCCAACAATTATGCCAGGGATGAGAACAGCAGCTCTCGATCTCAAGCAGTTTTATTACCAGGAAGCAGAAGGAGACCTGAGGACCAGCTGTGGACTTCAAGTTCACTCAGGGTTTTACATTTTATAGCAAAGTACTAAAACCAACTCTAATCTTCACGCAGTTCAATTCAGTGTGTTCACCTGAGACAACAGAACCCAGAGATGACGACCGTTTCTCCATCCCACAGAGCAGTTTCAGTTCTGTACCAGAAGCAGCCCAGTTCCACAGGGTACCTCCGGGGCTGCAGGAGGCCAGGAGGCGCCAGGGCACAACGCTCTAGGCTTCCCACCCCTTTCTCTCCAGAGCAGCTCCACTTTTCTAGAAACTGGGTTTCCATTTAAGGTTTTATTTCATTTTATATTAAAATTATAAAATGCACAGTCTTTGACCAGACACTTCCACATTCAGGAATTAATCCTACACATACTCTCTCACGTGAAAAACCACACATCTTCAGGATCACTCACTGCAGCAACACCGTGTGTAACAGCAAGACCAGAAGCAACCCAGAGGCTCCAACTACATGAATTACGGCACAGCTATAAAAGAGGATCTCACGCAGCCAGGAGGCTCTTTATGAACTGTATGGTACAATCTCCAGTACTAAGAAAGAACAGCAAGGTATAAAAACATGCTTATGGATACAGATGGACTGCAAAAGCATTATGACGAGCAAAAGCAGCTAGACAGAAAAGAGTACAGCCTGCATCGTCCCATTTCTAGCAAGTTCAAAACAGGTAAAACCAACCTCTGGTGACAGAAATCAGATCAGCAGTTACTGGGAAGAGCGGTGGGCATGTGAGGTTACAGCATTAACTTAAGAAGAACAGAAGAGAACTTTCTGGAGTGAAAGAAATGGTCTAATACTCGCACTGGGGTAGGAAACACATGGGTACACACATTCGTTGAACTGTGTACCTGATAAATATGTTATACATACATATTTTCTCAACAGTCCATTTTCAGAATGCTATCCAATGGGATTTACATAAAGAAAATAACCTGCTGCATACTTTCAAATAAAGAATATTACAAAATAAAAACAAAAACATTTTAAATCTTTATGAATGACAAAGATGGATGCTAAGCCAAACTGTGAGTGGGAAAAAACAAGGTACAAAAGAGTATTATACAGT